GTCACAGAGTGTATTTGTAACCTGCCTGACAAGCCAGGTGCATGTCACACGTTCAACCCTACTCAGCTCTTCCTCCATGCCTGACTTACCAGCATGACTTTATAGGTCCCATGTTAGAAGCAGGTCCTGTTCTGGGAGGAGGAAAGACTGGAGCAAAGACTTTGCGAGGGACAGACAGCAGAGCTACACACTCCTATGGTATGTGTCTGTAGGGGAATGAGAACTAGCATTTCAGGAGGTCTCTACTTCTGTACCTCTAGCTGCGATGGGGGAAGTATTTCAGGGAAGCAGGTAAGTTTTCCTATTTGCCTTGCTTAATTCCTTCACCTCTACCTTGCTTCTACTGTTGCTGACATTTAAAGTTTCCTCCCAGAGTCCAGGCCTCAGCAAGTGAACAGACCCCTCAGTCCTGTCCTTTCAAACTCTCTGGAGACTCAAACAGGGTCTGTATCCATGCAGTTTCTTCTCCATTTTGCTTGAAAGAAACAGCTGGTGACTTTTTAGTTTTAGCTTTACATGTCCAGCTTAGACAGTGGAGAAGATAAAATATGTAAAGACTACCAGCTTCTCCCTCCAGATCCCTTTGGGAGGCTTTGGGAGGTGTTGAATGCCAACAGCCTGGCTCACCTTCTTACTGGATTTCAGGATAGTGAGTGGAGGGGCACATGGAAAAGCCCATACTTTTCCACCTGTTGTGATGAAGCCTTCCTGTTCTGCTTTGCCCATATACATCAGATAAACCCTGCAGATAATTTTCAGCTATTTTTACTTGTTCTGTGGTCAAGCAGTTCTTTCTAGGGATGCAAACAGAACATGTAATTCACTCTTCCCACCTCCCCTCTGCTGCAATTAGTCCTGTAGGCCTGGGTTTGTTTACATGGGAAATGCTCCCCTTTATTTCATGAAGCAAGCTTTTCATGCTGGATATTCTTGTGCATGCCTTCAGCCTCTCAAATCCATTGAATAAGCCAAACTATCCATGAAATGGTGCTGCACGCAGCGTTAAAACCCCTTTTGTTTACTGGAGACAGCAGATAAGGAAGAGTCTTCCTAGGCATTGCACTTAATGTGGCATGTTCATGATGCCATTTATTATTATAATCTAGACTTCTTCAGCTTTGGAAGCATGAACAATACAGCATCAAAAAAAGGTTTTCTTAAAAGGTGGGGGGTTTTATAGATAGATAAAGAAAGCTTGCTCTGATTCATCTGCTAAAAACTGCTGCTGTTCCTTGTTTGTGTTTTTCAAGCAGAAATTGCTGGACAAGAGCAATGCCAAGTATGGAAATCCAGCATGAGCCTGTATTCCACAACTTCTTATCATGCAGGAAGGTTGCTGACAAAACTTTGAAACAGGTCTGGAATTTGCTTGGAAATGAAGTCACCGCTCCAGAGTGTAGTGCAGCAGCCGTGCAGAGCCAGGCAGGGAGGCAGGAAAGAGCATATGACCCATCCAGGGATGAATGAAGGTCAGCATGCCTCATCTGTGGGAAGGCTGCAGAGGCTGAGGCACGAGCTGCGCAGCCCACATGAGCTAGCATCTGGATATGAATGGGGGTGTCACCCTGCATAGCTAAAATTTGAATGGTTTGAAGAAGTCCTGTGAAGACTGTTTTACCTTGTGCCAAATGAGGGCATAAATCTTTGTGATTCCTATTCTGCTGAAGAGGTGCAGTGACATCTTTGGTGGGGTTCAGGGTATGATGTCGGCAGTTAACACAGAAGAGAGCCACAAACAAACCTTAAGTCTGAAAAATTACTCTTGAGCAGATGAATGTCTCACTCAAAAGTACAGATGGACGTACTGCTGAGGAGCTGCACCTCCTGATGATACTTTTGGCCAACTTCTGGATAGCTCTTGGTCAGGGCGAGACACAAAGCCTTCCTATGCTGTGACACACTTCACAGTGATGAATGCCTACACTGGTCTCCACCCCTACAGCTCAGTTTACATCTGTCAGTCATTACCATATCCCCAGCCTGTTGCATCCATATCCCTTATGTGCCACAAAGGAGGCCACGCAGCCAGCAGTGGAGCTGGGAGCAGGGTCCAATCTCTGGCCATGATGTAGCACCTGGGCTGTAGGACAACCTCAGGTTTCACCTTCTTGTAGAAACCTTGGAATCTGGTCCCAGTTACACACAAGAAACCAGACTGATCAGGGCATTGCTCGTGATGTGTCAGAGCAGTTTTTCAGCTCTGCATCAACCCCAGCATTATCAAAGGCACGTCCCAGTAGTCAGTTTGATCCTGCCTCTATGGAAATAAAACACCGGTGCTTTGACTGTAGTTACATAGAGAGTAAGCTGTAAAATAAAAATACTTAAGAAATAGCTGAAACAAGCATTCAACATCCATCATGAGGGACAAGCCCTTTCTTGATCCACTAAAATATTAGTTGTTCTTGTTCCCAGGGGCCAAAGCACCGCTCTTCTGCATGAGGTATGTGTGTCATTGGGTATGTGTGTATCCCTAAATTTAATTTGTCCAGTTGCATTAGGACAAGCAGCTAATTCCAACATTCATTTTGCTCCTATAATCAACCCCTCTGCCAAATGGCATTTGGGTGGAATTGTGGAGATTGTGATTTTTATTTAAAGTGATTTATTGACATCATTAGCAATGTTCCCTAAGTGGAATCCACAGTAATCCTTTTAATCTTCCCCCCATCACAGTAAATGCAAACATTTTTTTTTTTTTAATAACAGAGAGTTTGAAATATAAGGTTATTAAAATCTACACTTTTATATTTCTCCCATACTCTCTCCCTCTGTAATGGAATGGAAATCGTAATCATGGAAATAAAGCCTCCCTTTCAGATGAGAGATGCAGAGAGTGTATAATGAACAATTAAACATCTATTTAGCCACTTTGAATTTATATGGGTGTTAATGAAAATGAAAGGGGCCAACTTTACTTTCACTGCAGGGAAATGCAAAAGGTGGAGGGATTTTTTTTGGTATTACCCTAAGACCCTTTAATGCATTCAGCATCTGCAGCAGACCTCAGAGCTCCCCCAAGTGCTTTTCCAGCCTCTTCCCAGACTGCTCAGGAGAGGTCTAAGAAACCGAGGGGGGCTGCCCTCTGTCCCACTGCAGCAAGGTCTGGGCTGCTGTCACCAGCTGTCCCCAGGCAAGCCAAGAGCTGCCAGCTGATGGCTTGCTTCATCCTCCGATGTGCTGATTCACAGCCATGTGTTTCCCAGGGAGCCGGGTGTGAGGCGTGGGAGATGGAGCTGTGCCAGCTGTGCCAGCTGTGCCACAAAGCCCCTGGCTGTGGCGAGTAGGACAGGGGCCACCAGTATCCACATTGCCAAGCCAATGGGCAGTCTGGGTGGGCTCTATGAGTGGGTCTCGATGGGTCCCAGCTTTCAAGGGTACCCAAAGGCAGTGACAGGTCCAACTGTGCAGGGGGTGTGGGGTCAGAAACAGCCGAGCACTGCGGCTCCTTCGGCGGGCACTTGAGAGGGGACTGGGGGAAGGTGTCAGCCAGGTCTCAGTACATTCTCCCTTTGTTTTAAATCAGAAAAAAAAACAGTTGACTAATGGGTATGGCAGGAAGGAAAGGGCTGTTGTCACAGCCTGGTTTTAGAGGTGTGGAAGCAGTCTCCCACCCGCAACCATGTTGAGCCATTCATTCGGTTGGTCCTCGCTACCTATGAATTCCTCTGTTCAGGGTGTTTGGACCTATATCACATGGGACAGAGACCCTGACCAAGCTCCCCGGGGACTCTAACACAGGTCTGATTAAAGCACTTGAAGGTGGTGAGGACCTTAAGACCTCCAGAGCCACAGTATCCCCTTTTGCCCTCAGTTCCTCTGATTAATTTCCCCATGCACACACACCTTTGAAAATACTTTGTCCCAAATCACTTGGCTCCATCTCCTCCTTGCAATAAAGGGGCACAGCATGGTGGGAACCTGCCTGGTATGGTTGCACCACAGGGATGGCTCAGCCTGGACCAGTCACTCTCCCTTTCCCTCTGGTTGATGCACTGGTGCCATAGCAACTGCTAACAACAAACAGCTGTGGTGAAAATACAGCTTCAGAGCAGCTTCAGTCTCCAAGGACCGGTGGACATGTCCCGGTGGCTGTCCTCTCCTCCTAGGGACCCCAGCCAAAGAACATGCCTCTGAGGCAGGGCAAAGCCAGACTACACTGTGGTACCCCTGCATCAAGCCCAGAACTCACCTTCCACTGAAAACTCATTATAAAATAATAATCTTGCCATGTTTTACCTCTTGGAAGGATAAAATCTGGTGTAACAGGAGAGTCTGAGAGAAGGTCTGTTTGCCCTTAGCTCCTGATTCCTGCCCTGGCCCTCAAAGCATCCCCACAGCTTCATGCTCCAAGGACAGAGGAGCAGCTCCAACCCCAGGCTTCATAATGCTGGGGCAGAGGGACATCAAGATGTGTCCCATTGTAGGATATGTCTCCATACAGCTGCCCAGATGTGTTTCTGTAACTAGTCACAGCTCTGTCACTTGTGAGAAGAAATTTTGAGATGTTGTAAAACAGTCCTGGGGGACAGAAGTCACTGTGATCTGATTTGTGCACACTCCAAGGGGAGCAGAAAAGCTTTTTCCTCGACATTTTCTTTGCTCCTGGGCTGTACAATCTGTTCATTACCTACCTGAGCCGTCGTGATTTTATTGTAAGGGAAAGATGTTGCCATTTTATTCTATACCCTTCCAACCCCCAGGCAGCTGGCAGGATTGCTGCTAGCTGGTAACACACACACAAAAAAAGTTAATTTTCTGCTATTATTTCTCAGAAGCTCCATTTGGCTGCATTCAGGCCTAATGTGGTGATTTCCTTGCCTGCACGACAGCTATTTCTTACATGGGGAAGCTGCACCAAAAAAAAAAAAAAAAGCACCTCCAAATATAGAAAGACAATTTCACCCTCTCTAAGATTTCCTCTTCCTCCTCTTTAAATAAGTCTCAGTGCCTTCAAACCAAGCTAGCTCCCCAGCGAAATCCCATTGCCAAGGCGGAGGTGATATGTTTGTAGGGAACCTGAACCAGTTTAAAACCATCATCAGGGTGACCAGGGACAGTCTGGCTCTTACCAGTTTACACAGCTAACCGGGGAGAGGAGATGGCGAGGGAGCTCTGCTCCAAACCCTCTGATCTTTCTGCAAATCAGGCATCTGGCTGCTGCCAAAACTTTTTTTGGGCAGAGGCTCAGGGGTGAACAGGGCTGTGGGGAGCATCATTCCCCCAGGATGCTGGCAGTGGGATTGATGATGTCCGCCCTCCTCCCGGCAGCGCCTGCGATGTGATTTCTCTCTGCCGGCAGCACAGCTCCCAGACAAAGGCTCTGCTCAGCGCTCGCGGATGGGCTGGAGCTGAGGGTCACCCCCGAGGGGTCACCACACCCGTCCCCATCGCTGCCTGAGCCCAGGCTGCCGCCGGGACACGCCGGCTGTGCCCCCATGCACATGCGTGTACCCACGCGGACCCATTCGCACCCTCTGGCTGCTCCCCACCTTCCCCTCCACCTCTCCGGGAAGATCCAGCAGCCGGACCGAGGCACGTCTTTTGGCATCGAAAGGATTAACTCCCCGGGAGCAGCGGCAGAGACTGAGCCTACGCTGCTGTCACGCATCGCCGGCTTCACCGCACGCCTGGGAGTTGTGGAGCCAACCTCTCGGCGGCTAATCCCCCTCGCTGCTGGTAGCCAGGGCGGCTGGGAAGAACGAGTGAGGCTATAGGGTGAAGGGACAGGAGGTCAAGAGGACAGGGAGGAGTGTACACACACACACACACGCATGCACACACCCCGCAGATGGCAGGCAGCGGCACTGGGTCGGTTGCCGTCTGCAGGGAGGTCCGTAGGGAGCCGAGCGCTGAATAAAACAAGCTGGAGCATCAGGCAAGCAGATCTGTTCTCTCGCAAAAGTCCTTAAGGCAAAACCCAAGAGTGGCCACTCCTCGTCTCAGCTGCCCTTCGGAGACCAGGCGCTGGGCTCACTGCTGTCATGGTCGTCGTCTGTTATTATCATTTTGTTTTTAAAGGAATCGATCAGGAGATGCCGGCAAAAGAAGTTGCTGAAAGCCAGGCTGGTGTGGCCGGGAGCTGCGTGCTGCTGGCTCTGCTGTGCACCGGGAGCAGCTGAACTTTGCGGGTTTTGAATATACATTTTCCTCTGCGGACGCTTCGGGCAGAGTTACGGGGAGAGTCACGGCACGGCACCACAGACCTTGCGCCTGCTGTTACCCAGACCATGTCCGGGGGACGGCAAAGGGGGGATTTCTGTCTCTCCGAGGACCATCACCAGTGAAAAGAAGCTGGAGAAAGGCAATTTATCTTTCTTTCCAGATGACTGAAAATACCTACAGGATCCTGTTTCTTCAGCTTTCATCAACGAGTAGCATCGGAGAGAGGCAGCTGAGGAACAAAAATGTTATCGGTCAAAATCATTTCAGCATCTACTTTTTCCCAAGGAACTTCATGCCCGTAGGGGTTTGCTGTGGGCATTTACAGAAGTGAGGACTGACATACCACAGATGCATCCCTACCGGATCATGTAAGAATTTGCAAATGAGAAACCTACCCCAGCGAGACCTTCTCTGCCCAGTTTGCCGTGCATGGTTTGGTGTAGGTACGGCAATTCTCACCTCTTTCTCCCCCTTTTAAATCTCTTGGGCTTGGAGATCTCTTTCCTCATTGCAATTATGATTATTTGCAACATCAGTGCCATCAAAGATTGGAGCACTTTCCTCTCCCAGATCCTTCCCAGCGTTAACAAGACTCTGAACTTGGTACAGCAAGTGGAAGCCACCACCAGCTCAGTGGTAAGTGTCCTCCAGGACCCCGAGCAGGACAACTACCTGTCCAACAGCCAGTCCATGAACTCCAGCAACTTCACAGCTGGCCTAGACCACTTGTTCCAGTACTCATACTCAGACAATGACCAGCTTTACAAGGAATACAAACCGCCTCCTCGAGACGCCATTCCTCTACCCAAGGCCGTCCTCTACCTTCTCATGGCAGCCCTGGTGGTGGTGGCAGTGGCATATGCCATAGTGGGGCATCTCATCAAGGACCTCATTCACGACTTTATAGGTGAGTGTGGACATCAGACATTGTGTGCATGTGGTCAAAAAGAGCCTGGTGCAAAACCTGGGGATGTTGGCTGGCATCACTCCTTTGATTTGGGTGGGTTTTAGATCAAGCCTTGACTCTTTCACATTTACAAGACTGTGAGTTTATCTGATATGCTGGATTCTCCAAACTGAGCTGTATGTTGATTAGCTTCCCAGAGAAAATCCTTGGGTTTAGCCCCCTCCTTAAAGAAATGAGACTTGTGCGTGTGTGTATAACTGTGTATGTGCGTAAGTCTGTGCTGCCAAACGATTGTAAAATCCATTGGCCAGTTTCAACTGAGCTTGGATTAGAGGTTTCCAAAAGGAAAAGTTTCATGGCAACAGATACCTGAGCACAGGGTAACAACCCACTAGTGCATTGTGAATGAAAAGCTGTCATATGAGCTTAACCCCTTATCAGACACCAGTGAATCCACAAACTCCTAGGAAACAGCTCAGCAGTCTGGCTCCCTTGTACAGCACCTGGCACAATCGTCAACAAATCTGTACAATGACAACTCAAACAGTGCACTTTTTAATGAGGTTTGGCTTCCCAGCTCTTTTGTTTCATCCTGTTGCTGATGAACAAGGTCCCTCGTCATTGGGGAGCAGAGCGCAAACAGTGCTGGCTGCAGCTGCCGTGAGCAGGCAGAGGTGCAGGCAGAGGTGCTTGGCTGCTTATGGCAAGCTCTCAGTGATACTCTTGTTTGCCCTATAATTTGTAAGGCCAGTGGTGCCAGGGAGTGCAGATGTGCTCAGTTCCCTTCTGAATCCCTGGTACTTTTGGTCCCCATACCCCTACAGCCAGCTCTCCATGTCCTTTTGGGGGACAGCGCCCTGCTGCAGGGACCTGGTGGCACTTTTCCAGCTTGGACAGGGGACCAGGAAGGATCCACAGAGGAATTTAAGCTCCTGGCTCCTGCAGATGTGCATACCCCTCCTGAAAACTCTGGGGAGCAATGTCCTCTGCAGGGGAGTGGGACTGAAATCCCTTTGCGCACGCCTTGCTCTGGGCCTGCCCCCCTGCCAGGGCTGAAGCCCTGCAGACTCCATCTCTGCAGTGTGAGGGAGATTACTCTCATCTGGAGAAAAATCTACGTGTTCATTCATGGTTCCCCTTTATTTCCCTGCTCCTGGGATGCAGGAGATACACACCAGGCAAAACTCCGACCGGTGCCTGTGGGTGGGCAGCACCCATGCCTTGCTGATGGGAGGGTAAGCCAAGTCCCTTGGGCAGGGGGTCATGACTGGGCAGGGGCCAGATCTGGGACATGGCTATTTGTGAGGAGGAGGTATTTGGGACAAGAAAGGTCGAACCTCCTGGCAGGGGCAGTGCTCAGGTCTCACATGAGGCTCAGCCAGGAAAACGGCAGGGAGCTGCTGCTGAGGAGTCTTTCTTTGCCTCAGCTGGAGGGGAACAGATACTGTCTTAAAGTGTTAAATATAACACTTAATCAGCAGTTTGCTGGGGTTGTAGTGTCTTTCGGCTCTGCTGCTCATCTGATTTAGCATTGCCTTCCCAACAAAGGTAAGCAGCAGGGACAGCACCTAAAATTACACTCCTATCCTGAGATACTCAAAGGACCAGGTCAGGCCAGGTTAGAAACCCCTCAGAGGTGGGAGCTGGTCCACTCGCAGAGGCCCCACAGAGCAGACACCCCTGCCCTGATTGCTGGGGTCCCTAATGCAGAAGAGCATAGAGGCAGGTGCTCAAAACCCCCAAAAGCCACATAAATGTCATGCCCCTGCGGGCAGGGAGAGAGGCTGAAGCCGCGGTCAGAGGCACCTGTGCCCCTGCCATGCTATTTCCAGCTCAGCACTAACACTCCCTTGTGACCTTGGGTACATTTTGCTTTTTGCCTTTCCATGGGACAAGGTCAGCAGGGTGCCCCTTCCCTCACAAAGCTTTGCAAAGGGACTTCCACAGCCTTTCACAGCACTGTGGCCGTCCCAGGGCTGGACAGGCACAGGGACAGCCTTGGGGTCTGCCCGCTTTCTTGGAAGAAGCCTTTTCCCAGCTGAATGCCCTTGCTGAGGGCAGAGCACCCTCCCTGCCCCGGGTGGAGGTGACATCTCTCTGAGTTAAGATCAGAAATCCAGATATGAGCTTCGACCCCATCCAGGCAGAGAGGAAGCATTTCCCAAACTCCAGCAGCACCCCTCAGTGCTGAAGGCTGACTCCAGCTCTTCCCCTACTTAGCACTCTGGGCCCATCTTCACACCATTTATACACTTAAAATGAGCCAGTCCTTGGAGAAGAGCGGACGGGGCTGTGTTTGTTAATGCTGCCAAGCAGCAAGCAGCCTTTAAAGAAAAGGTTTCATTTGAATGAGTTTGCATAAAATTACTTCAGGGACAGGACAGAGGGACCAAGGGATAGTAAATAAGAAGCTGGTCTATTAGCTGCCTTAACACAATGCCTGGATTTATATACTCGGCAGCAGCTCTAACTTCTGCTATCAGTGTTTCTGCACTAATCATATTTAGAAAGATACGGAGAGAGAAGGAAATAAGATGCCAAAGGGCTGGAGCCTGTTTCAGGGAGATTAAAGTGTGAATAGTTAATCGCTACTTTAAACAGTCACTCAGACATCAGGGATGATTTTGACTCCTCAATAACAGCTTGTAGGACATGGCTGGTGGAGTCAAAGCATCACCCAGCCCCGTGTGGGCTCTGGGCTCAGTTCGGGATGGTAAAGGAGCTCTTGGGATGCTGCTGAGCTCTTCCCCTGCAAAATCTGAATGGGTATTTGAGACACTGAGATGTCTCTCGCAGCTGCTTCTTAAAAATTCAATTAGAGTTTGTACAGGCATCCCCAGGGGGAGATGAATGCTGCTGCAATGCCCAGTGGTGTGGGTAGGAGTGGAGAATGGGAGGCTGCATTGGAGGAGAGGGAAAAATGTGTTGTTGAAGAGGAGGAAGGCAGAGCTCTCCTCCAGCCAGGGTGGGGATCCTGTCTGTCCTCATGCCCCAGACCACCTGGATATGGATAAGAGGGCTCTGAAAGAGCCCCTCCTCAGCTCTTCCTGGAGAGACCTGACTAAGGAGAGTCCAGAATACCTTAATTTCTCTCCAGTCCCTCCCTGCTTGCTCTAAGCCGACAAAGTCTCACGTTTTCAACTTTCCCAAAACTCAGCAGACCTCTCTGCTTGGGGATGGATGCAAGATCATCCATCCAAGCAGGAGGAGGGCTCCTGCATGAGTGCAGCTCAAAACTCACTACCAGTTAAGGCAAATTGGGTCGAAGCATTTGGAAAGCAGCTTAACTCGGGAGCACTTGGAAGCTGCCAGAGACGGCGCTGCGGCGAAGTGCCGGCTGGGCAAATGACAAGCCTGTCGCTAACCTACAAAGCGCCTAATTACTGCAATCCTTGGGAATCAGCCCGCCCTCCCTCCTCCGTCCCCAGCAGTTCACTGAATATTGCCCTTATTTAAACACACACACACACACACAAAAAAAAAAAAAAAAAAAGGATAAAAAGAGGGGGAGAAAAAAAAAGTTTGACTAGAAAAAAAGCTGTTGCCATGGAGATAGCGTGTGGTCCCTGGGAAAGCATCTCGCTGCCTGCGCTGGAACCACACGGGAAAGGGGCTCTTGGTTTGCGTAGGAGCTGATGCTTTGCGGGGAGACCTTTGTTGATGTCACCCGGTTCAGCTCTGTGTTGCTGTTCTCTGGAGGAGACCTTGAGGAAACTTTTCCTGCCCAGCTGGGGTAAGGCAGGGCAGGTTTGCCAATGCTGGCAGGACTTTGCTGGTCGATGACTTCAGGACTGCTTAAAACCCTAAGCCATTCTTGGAGTGGGGTCTTTCTTTTCTTTGCCCTTATGACCCATCAGCTATATTTTTATTTTTCATCCTTATCTCCATCCGCCACATTTCAGGCTTCTTTGGGAAACAGTCTCCTTGAACAAAGAAACCATGCATGAATGTAGGGTTGCTGAAAATAGCTGCTGGGTGATCCTGCAGGGACTCGGGATCCGCTTTTAATTGCTCCCACGCAGAACCACAGGGCTTTTAGGATAATTCAGCCTGTGGCAAGGATTGCAGATAGAATCTCTGGCCCATCAGAGAAGACTTAACATCTTCTTTTCAGGCTCTGTTTTGAGGATGATTCATTTGCTTCCCAAAGTTTTGGGAAAGAAGAGACTGTGTCGGGGATAACCCACCTCTGACACTAACCCTTGCCTCAGTTTCCTTTTTGGTACATGGGGGTGCATTAGGGGTTCCTTAGCCGATGTTTAGGGGTGCTGATGTCTAGCACTGGCTGCTGTAGGATGGCTTTCATGGGGTTAATTTCCACTCCCAGCTACTGTAATAACGGGCAGATGCCCCATCCCTGCATCCACCCTGGCAACACCATGGCTGCGGGCTGCGGCTGTCAGCTGGACAAGTGGCCACAGTGATCTGGCCCTCTAAAAAGCAGGTACAGGTGGCCCCACTCCAGGACAGCTATTTTCACAGCCAAATCCTTGAAGCACAAAGCCCGAGCAGTGGGATGGCTCCCAGCATGCGCTGCCAGGGATCAACCAAGGCTGGACCTCAGGGATGCACCATCTCACAACCGCGTTTCCATTCCTGACATTGTGTGGTCTGGCCGTGGGCTGCATCAGGTCCGTGGGGTGAGGACTGTGCCTTTCTATGCCTCTGCGAGTGCTGGTCTTCCTTGGGCTGAGACCAAGCACAGCTCCTCACCTTCTGGCCGCCTTCACTCCATCTCTGTGGTGAACGCCTAAGGCTGGAGGATGCGGAGAGCAACTAACCACTCCCAGGAGCACCCCTGCCTCCTGTGTACCGCACCTGAGACATCACCTCTCTGAGTTCCGCTCTCTGGAGCAGCAACACTGCCCTGCAGACAGGTCTGGGATCAAATGCAGGCTTTTTCCAGGCTTATACAGGTGCAGAGAAGCTATTTTTAAGATAATATTGTAAATAGTTGAAAGCCTTTCATGTGTTGCACCCTTTCTGCACCCGGCCCTTCATGCCGGTGACAGCTCTGCAGAAAGACAGTCCTTACCTGTCCATTGGCAAAGCAGTGTGCTTGTGTTACTCAAGGTGCAGGACAGCTTTGACTCTGCCAGCACGGCTAATCTAAGAAATTTCTGCAAAACGGGGAAAGAAGAACAGACTCTGACAGCAAGTTAATTTAGAAAGATGTGAATCTGGGGGGAAAGGGGGACTTCTTGCTAACAAATTACTACTGCCAGAGGCAGAGAGAGATTCTCCAACAAAACAAACCTGGGAGATATCTGCTGATTTTGCTAATGAATAAGCAGAGTCTGTTCTGTAAATGAGACAGATACAATGTCCAGCTGCGACTGCTGCATCGTGTCAAAAACATGAGGGATACCCTTGAACTCGTGTTCGTCGGGAATGCTTTGGCCAGAGCTGGTCCTGCCTTGCTGAAGAAGCATGAGGCAATTGCTGGATCGGGACCTGTTTCAAAGCAAGAGGTGCTTCTGCTCCTGGTGCTGGGAAAAGAGCTTTTTTAGTAGCTGTTTTCACACCCAGCTCCATTTAAAGCAAATAAAACTAGAGCATGAGTTTGTTTGTTCATCTAACGTGTTTCCCCTTCCGTTGCTTGTTTCCATCTCTGCAGGGAGTGTGAATATCTCACTCACCCATTTGCATTTAAATTTTAGCCCTTTCTCCCACCTCCCTCTCCTCTTCTGTTAAGGACATCTCTTTTCCAGTGATTGAAGTGCCTCATGGACATCCCACCTTGTCACCAATGAATGCAGGGGACCTGGTCACCCCACTGGGATGACACCAGGCATAGAGTATCCCTGTGCCCTGTGCACACAGCAGCAGGAGGCTGCTCCCCACTGCCTGCACTGTAAGGGGATTCTGAGCAAGGACTGTCTCTCATAGGAAGGGTAAAAGATGCTGTGATATCTGGGCAGTCCCAAAGAGTGTTTTTCTGTCCCCCAAAACACAGCACATCCCAATGGTCCTGCTTCCAGGGTTGCTGTTGAAGACTCAGGCAGAGTCAGGGAGTTGTAGGGGCACTTTGTGCCACATCACTCTGCTATTCAGGGAGGGACACTATTTCACAGCTGCTGATTTACCCAGTCTACCCTATCTCCTCTCCCCAGCTGCTTTGGATCAATTGCTCCTTATCGATCTCACCCCATCTCAGCACTTTCCACCTCGCCTTTCACCCTATAACACTTCAGCAAGCGTGCTGAGCCTCAGCAGCACCAGCAAGTGGGGAGAGATGTCTCTGGGTTAGATGCTGCTCCCCCAGCCTGGCCAAGAGAGTCGCTTTGTCTCTTTTATCTGAGACGTTCATACACGCCCGTATGCATGCCCTGATTTTGAAGCATGTGTTATGAGCTCCTTCCAGGGGCTGGGTAGGGGCAGTCAATTCTTTTTCTTACCTCCAAAATGTGACTATTCTGGGTCTGAGGGTGCCACTGCCCCAGAAGCACACCATGGGACCTCTGCTCACCCCAGCTCTGCCCGTGGGTATCCCAGGTTCATCCAGTGCCCTGGTTCATCCTGATATTGCTTGCCTTCTGGCTGGAGCCTGTGTGAACCTGAATGTGGGCTGTGCTCCGAACAAGTATTTATTTTTCCTCGTGGTGGCAATTGTGTCTATTGTCTGTTCCTCATGCAGACTCCCTGCCAGATGTAAGGGATGGAGAGAGAAGTACCTATTGTGATGCTAAAGGCTTCAGCTGCCTTCAGCGGGTCACCACTGTCCCTCAGCTTCAAGCTCCTCACCACCCTCCATTACCTGATTACACCCTCCTGCAGGGTTCATTGTTCAAGGTTTCTAACATGTGCTTGTGCATGATGTGAGGTTGTGCATCCCATACCATGCAAAGGTCCTTCTGCATCAGAGCAAGGTTTAATCCCACTGGGGCCAAAGATGTGCAGGTTTCCTCTCTCTACCCCCTTGTCTCTCCCCAGACATCCCGTGCGGGAACCTGTTTCTCAGCCACAGGCTGATTGCAGCCAGAGGGAGAAGTTGGAGAGGAGCGTGCACGGCTGGGACACAGACGGTCGCTGGCAGCTGGCAGGGGAGACGAGGGTGCTGACATTTTTATGGTTGTTTCTCCAGGGTCCTGCTGGCAGGAGATCCTCTGCCCATGGGGCCTTGCTCCTCTTTTCCACACATGGCAACGCGCTGAAGTTACAGGCCATAAATGGCCACAAATAACGTGTAATTGTGTAATTACTTCACTCCTTACTTACACAGTCAAATCATAAAGGCATCGCAGTAAATACCCTCTAATGACAGCCTAATTACATCTTCCTGCAGATTACCGGGTAATTAGATCCAGCAGGCTCCAGAAATAATTCCCAGGGAAGCAGCAGTTCGGATTAGCACTACAATCCAGCCCGCTCTTACCCAGGAATTAGGCTGCGGCAGCCTCACGCAAGCCACCTTCCCTGGGCACCCTGGCCAACCATGTCCCCTTTGGTGACAATGCACCGTGGCCATTTTCCCACGGAAACAGCTTTTGCTGAGACCCCCCGTGCTCTCCCCAAACACTCATCCTCTGTGTTTCTGCCTTTACCATGGTGCCACAGGACCGCGCCCTGCTCTTGCTGCTTCTGGTGCCTGCAAATATCACCACGGGTTCATTGCTTGGCCACCAAATGCCACTTCCCCTTGCTCGCAGGCATGCAAAACTCTTTGTTTCCTGTTGCACTCAGCAACCCTAATCCCAGGATATTTGGGGACCCATCACTTCTTTTTCTACAGGTTATTCCTCTTTGTCTCTGCCGGACCAGCCTCTGCTCCCACTGGAGTTTTATGGCTGACGTCAAGGAAAACAAGCCAAGACCTTTAATAGTATTTGTAGGAGGCAATCTTGTTACTGCCTTCCGGATCCTCCTCACGCCAAGCAGCTGTGTGGGGGCTGGTGTGAGCCTGGGAGGTCTTGGGGGCAGGAAGGGGGAGGGCTGTCCAGCCAGTGTAGATGCATCCTGGGCTGCAGGGCCAGGCTGGGAAGCAGCCAGTGGAGTTTTTGGCTTTGGTCTATATCTAGTAAATTCAAGCAAAATGGAGTCTATAAAGGAAAAAAGACCTAAATGAGCCTTCTGGGCTTGGCTGATTTCCTCACGGAAGGGTTGTGATGGGGAGCCCAGGCTTTGGTGGGGGCTGTGGACCATGCAAGTGAAAGCTAAATGCCCCAGTTGGGACTCTGGACAGACCCAGGGTTCCTCAAAAGCCTTTGGACCACATCTTTTATGAGATCCCTGATCACTCTTGCCAGCACTGTGGTAGCTGTGGGGACTGTGTTGGTTCTTCTCCTGCCCTTCCCATCACACAATCAGCAGACCCTGTGATGGAGATGAACAGAAAATGAAAACCAGAACAAACAGTCACTCTCTGGACACATCACCTGTGCCCAGCGTGGTGGGAGCTCTCTCCTCCATGGAGCCTGCACCCACATCTGGCCAGCCCATGCTGGCAGTGGGGCACAACCTCCTCCACTCCCTGTCTGGCCCCCATAGCAAGGGTGGACAGATGAGCATCACCCCAAAAGCCATGCCCTCTATGATCTTGGGGAGGACAAATGGCTTCAGGCTAAAGAAGAAAGTCAAATATCACACTGCAAAACCAACAAAACTTTTCAGTTTCCTTTAAAAAAAAAAAAAGAAAGAAAAAAAAAAGCTTTGGAGCTTTCACAAAAGCCCCAAAATTTGACCTATGGTGTACACACCAAGCACAGGGATGACCACAGGTCATTCCCGTGTCTCTGCTCACACCTGCAGCAATGCCTGGACACCACTGTTGACCCAAGAAATAGATCTTTCTCTCCCTTCACACCTGGGATCCCACCCTGGCATTTGCCATCATTCAGCTCAGCTTTGCTGTAAATCTCTTTCCACAGCCCATGAAAAAGGCAACGTCTCACCGTGATTGTATTTCTCTGGGCCTGCTCCACCAGGCAGCCTCTGTCCTTCACCAAAGAGCTCCAACTGAAATGCCCCATGGGAACAGAAAATACCCCATGCCACAAAGGAGAGAAATGTTATTTCTTGAGAGTGATCTACTGGCAAGTGAAAGGAGTCCCTCAGAAAAAACTACACCAGGCTGGTCCTTTTGTCTGCTTCCTGATAGCCGTCTCCACTTTATTTTGGGAGCAGAGCTGAAGCAGAGGGGTATTGGTGCTCCACTACCCACCACCACCAGGTTCTGTCCAGCCCCAGGGGCTCCTCTCTCCTCACCTGAGTTTCCCCAGCTTTGTTTTTTTCATTGCTGATGCCTTTCCATTACAGCTGGGCATGGCCTCCCACCACCCACATTTTTTTTTTTTTAAATAGACAATTGGGAAGCAGCACCACCTGCCTCCACTGAGCCACAGCCTCTTGTGCTGCAAGGGCACCACCATCCAGCAGCAACCACTGTATTTTGGAGGGGGATCGGTCACCCCCAAGGTTGTGAGAGGGTCTGAAGCCCTGGCATGGCTGTGACATACTTCTGTGGCAGATGAGCCATGTTGCCCATGCCTCCAGCCCCCCTTGGATGTCACACAGTTATTTAATCGTACCCTCTGTTTCTGACAGCAAAAATCCACTGTAGGAAATACATTGCCAGAGAGCCCAGATGCACACTTTGCTTTGGAGACACTTCATTTTCATTTTGGGGATGAACAGGGTGATTTCATCTGCCTAAGCTGGGAGGGATTCCATAAATCAGAGGCCTGAAAACCAGTCCAGAGCTGGGAACACAGCAGAGACCGTGGTACCAGGGGAGTGGAGGGGGCTGAAAGGACAGGGGTGGGCAAGGGACCCTCCTGGGGGGTGAACATCCAGAGGGAGGGGTAGGATGTAGCGATTTCCCAGCCAGCTTTGACTCTGGGAACAGCTGGAGGTAACCAAGGCCTTGTTTTGTGATTTTTCCCTCCTCCAGACTGGATCTTCGGTCCCAGCCCAGATGACAACAGCAACAAGAGCGACGTCAACTGCATCAGCAACAGCGTCAATGAGATGAGTGAGATGCCTGAGGCACCGCGGCACCGGGACCGCCAACCCCAGGACGTGGTCATTGCCATCGGCGAGACCTGCCACTTGCCGCAGCAGACGTGACCGGTGCAGTGGCCGAGTCAGGCAGGATGGAACAGAGGGATGGAGCGGAGTGTTGGAGCAGCGGGATGGTGCAGCAGGACAGCGCAGCAGCCACATTGCAGGACTGGATGGCGAGAGGAAGGGATGGGCAGAGCCAGCACCATGGAGCAAAGCCATTCTCACCCCGGTTTTGCCAACCTCTAAGGACCTTGCCAGGGCAGGCAGCATCACCCCTTCTCCCAGGCTTGTCAGTCCTGCTCTGACATCTGTCCGTGGGTTCATGCCCTTTTTTCCCTGTGAATAGCAAAAAAAAAATTGCAAATTCAAAATACACCCACCAAACAAAGCTCGCAAGAGAAATGAGCCAGAGAGGATCTGGGCAGTCATTTGGTGTGTGGCTGTCCCGCAGCATGGGGATGGGGTGGTGAAAAGGGCAAAGGAGACAAGGAGTCTGCATGAGAAACAGGGGTGTCTACATTTCTGGGGACAGACCCAGGACGTGGCAGGGAGCTGGGGCTACAGCATGAGCCATGGGCTGCAGAAAGGCACTTGAAAGGACAGTAGGAGCCAAATTCAGCCCGCTACATTGATGACCTGCCCAGGCCATCACTCCTCCCTTTAGTTTTGCTGCTCCAGCTCACAGCCCATTTCAGCAGGTATGTCCTGTGGCTCTGGGACAGCAGGGTGACAGCCTCACCTCCCCAGGGAGCCTTCGTCCCCATGCCCATGGCCAGGCCAGGGCACCACCTTCCCTCTGCCACCAGCTCTGGTTGAGCCCAGCATCCCCTGACTGGGAGCAGCCCTGCTGGGACATGGCATGCCCCTGTTCTCTGAGGAAAGTTGCTGGAGGGGAGGGCAAGGACCCACCTGCAGGAAACTTTAGCTCTTCATGGGGGAAAATAGCCCCTGTATAGCTGCATCTCTCAGATTTGTCCCCATATAGCCATTCCCCTCCTCACCCCTACGTTAGCTGCCACCATGAGGGGTGCTGGCCCTGCACTGGGGTCAGCCACATGTGCATGCACTGGTGGAGGGGGGAGACCTCCCTTGTCTCCCTGTGTACCTTCCCTGCCAGGGACCCGCCACCCAAAACTGCCCTTCTCTCTTCCTGTGACTTCTCTCTGCCCAAAGACATCCTTTCCCATTGCTAGCTCCAGGCAGATTTCTGCTTCCCACTTTTTAAAGGGGCTCAGGGGAAGCCAGCAGCAGCCAAGGTGGGGGGCGAGTTCCCAAACCAAGAGAGAAAAGGAGCATCCTGATGATTTCATTGATATTATAAGGCCAGCTCTTGCCCCGCTCAGGTTTTTAAACCAGGATCAATCCTTTCTCTGTATAGCAGAGCCTATAAATGAGCTGAGCTCATTCCTTGGTCCCAGTGTCTCTTCCTTATGAAGATCCCTTTGATTGCCACATCTTTCCTGAACTTTCCTGAACTGATGGCCCAGAGACCCAATCCTGGGAAAAGGCAAGTGGTCAGAACTTCTGCCTCTGCATTCAAGGAGACAATCCCTGCTTTTCCCAGCCTGAGGTACTCAGCACACCCCTAATAGCGGGGGCCAGAGCATCATTTTACCCTTCTGAAAGCGGTTAGGGAAAATGAATGAGGTTTCAACATCCTGCTCTGTTGGCTTTTAATGAGAGCCATTACCAGCAGTCCCATGCTGGGGCTTTGTCAGCTCTGCAGCAAGCAAAGACAGTAGGACAGTACCACAAACCTCCCCTAAATAATTAACCATTCCAATCAGATATGTCATTGCTGCCACCATCATTTTTTCTCTTTTTTTTTTGGCCCTGGGTTTGTAATGCAGCTGTCCTGGCACCTGCCAGCTGTCCTGCACTGGGGCAGTGATGCTGCGGCAATGCGAGGGGATGCCAGGGTGTCATCCCAGGTCTGTCAGCCCCTGGGAGCAGGGCTGCATTGCCAGAGCTGGCCGTGGACTGGGCAAACTGGGAAGGTCCAGATTCCTGAGGAACAGGAGATTGTATGGGGTGGAGGTGGGCTGGTTTCCTGGCTCCCCTGCCCTTTCAACATCTAGAGGCTGGGCATTGGGGTCACCCAGGGCTCCCCAGCCACTACTGGGGAGGGATGGTAAGACTGTGTGTCCAGCACTGGCACCACTCTCAAAGGGACTGGTCCTTGCCATGGGGAAATGCCACTTACCAGGCACAACTGGTCCCCTCACAGCTGCAGGCAACAGCCTGGGTCATATGTCTGCATTGGGGACCCATCACCCACCAGCTGCTGGAAATAAGGTGGAGGCTTCCCTGAGGATGGAGGCAGCCATCTCCGCTCCAGCCAGGTTCTTGCTCCCTTCCTGAGACATCTTGGGTGTCACATAACACAGTCTGACCCCAAGGAGACACTCCTGCACCAAGCAGCAGCTCGCACCCAGGGCCAGTGTGGCTGTCAGCAACCTCAGACCACCATCCTCCAAGCTGGAGGAGAAGGAAGGAGTCAAGCTCCCTCCTGTGGCCACCTGCACCGGGGTCTGCTGGGCTGCGCAAGGCTGGAAAAGGGCTGAGAGGAAGGCCCATCCCCTCCTCAGCCGGATGCAAGGAGGGATCCTGGTGCTGTGGTCATGCCCAAACCCGACCGAGCCCCCAGGTAATGTTATGACAGTGTGTATGGTGGGGGGAACCACTGACCGTCTCCCTGAGCCACAGGGTCACGCCTGGTCAATGCCAGGAACCAGGCTGGTGCTGGCGTGGTGCAGGATCCCATGGCTGTAGCTGCTTTCTCTACTGACCCGGCTGGAACCTGCCACACCCCCTGGTGTGTGGCAAAACCACAGAGGACACCAGTTTCCCACACCACTTTCCTTCGCATTGCCCCATCCCTGCATCACTGCCATCATCTGGCATCTGCTTTCCTCCTTTTCTCCCTAATGTGGGAAGGGGAGAGTTTGGAGACCAGTAGAAATGGGGCAGCAACCTCATCTGCTCTTCTCACCCACCAGGACCTCCACTCCGGGCTGGGCTGCCCCTCCCAGCCTTTTCCTTGTCCTCCGAGCAGGGGATGAGGGTCTGGCTCTCCCAAATAAGGGGCCCAGGGAGAACATCTGTGGGAAGGAATGCCCAGGACTGCTTTTCCCAGAGAAGGTTTTGGGGGATGCTGAGAGGGAAGGGGGCTGATGAGGGTGCCAGGCTGCTCCAACTGCTCCAGTTCCTGCACCTCTTCAGTGCAGGAGGTTTCTCTTTAAGTCCCTCTTTCCTCCCCTAAGCGCCTTAGGGAGCAGGGGCGAGAGATGCTGGTGCTTTTTATAACAAATAGCCATAATCCCCTCTGCTCACATCGCCTGCGCCTTCCTGCCCTGAGGCCCAGGGCTGAGCTTCTGAAATGGGGGCAGCTGCCCAAAATCTGCCTCAAACCCCTTCAGTTCCCAGCATTGCCTCTCTCCCAGGACACAGATCCCAGCTGGGGCTGGTTCTGGGCACAAAATCCCTTTGCAGAAGGCTTTGGAAGGCCACGAGCATTGCCCCCCCTTCCCAGTTTCAGCACTCTGCCAGGGACAGACAGACAGAGGCGCATGGATGAGCAATAGAGCAGCTGCCCAGCCTCTCCACTCTGCTGTGAGACTCACAGAGTTGGAACCAGCCCCACAGCACAGCCACAAGAAAGCCCTCAAGAGTGGGAGGAGCTGGAGGAGGCTGGGTTGGTTTTTTTCCTTCCAATCCCCCCTGCCTTTAATAAGAGGGAAACGGAGGCAGGGAGGGAGTGGGGAAGGGGCAGAGCACTCCTGGCGCCACAGCAGAGGAGCAGAGCCCTTTGCAGGGCAGCCTGTTAGCTTTAGAGGCTGACAAAGCTCCACACCTGGATGTAACCCCCAAGACCTGAGCTTTGGTGTTTTATCAAGGTCATTTTATCAAGGTCAAGGTCATTTGATGCTGGGATGGCTGGTTTCCCTTACCTGGGCTGCACCCATCCATGCTTCATCCCTGGAGACATAAGGGACTGGGAAGAAGGGATATGAAATGGGGCAGCAGGAAGTGTGATGGGGCAGGAGCAGGTGCCTGGGAGAGGTATATTCCACCTTCCATCCCTGTCCCAGTGCCCAGCACTGTCTCCCCACCCAGCCCAGCCCTAGCCCTCCCCCCAGAACCACAGCCATCTGTGGAGGACAGTGAGTGCTGCAGCTGCTTTGCTCCCACTTGGGGATATCCCCCTCTGGTCCTACTCCCCATCCTTCCCCATTGGTGTCCCCAGTGGGGACAGATCCCGACATCCCCCTGAGAGGTGCAGCATGGGCACATCAGCCCTGGCCAGGCAGCGTCCCTGTCCTCCCCTGCCAGCCCCTGCTGCCCTCTTGGTTGCCAAGCAATTTCTGCCTTAAGCAGCTCAGCTTTTATGTCTCTCCAGAGTCCCCCTGACTCTGCACCCTGCCATGGGGAACCCAACACATTTTTTAACCTTCTACTGTTTCTGGTTTACTGCCCACAGGAGATGCAATTTCCTCCAGAACCCAGGGACCAGGGGGTATCCAGGAGAGGGCAGCATGGGAAATCCTGCCTAAAACTGTTCAGACCCTGCCTGTATCGAGTTCCCCTGCTGCAGGCCTGGCCCCTGGCTCCCACAGCCTCTTTGCAACACATTTGATGTCATTTTCCCTTTAAACACCCCACAGGGAGTTAAAAAAAAAACCCTGGGGGGTTCTTCTGGGTCAGGCTGCCCTAAGAGGGTGAAAGAAGATTAATTTCTCAGAAGAGCAATTCAGATTTTTCTTCCCCTCCCTGCTGGGGACCGAAGCCGGGCTGGCGGGCAGGAGGCGGCAGCAGGAGCACACACATCTCATGGGCACAAGCAGCTTTTGGTGTCACCCCTGGAGTGGCCCTGAGCGGGGCGTCCCCAGGTACCTGCCCTGCACGGGAAGCAGGTGGGGACTCCTGCCAAGTGATGGGTCACACAATCGGGAAGAAGATGTCACATCAGGGACCCTGATGGGGCAGGATGGGTGCCCACCACCCAGGAAGGAGGAAGGGCAGGGCTGTGCCACCGCTCCTTCCTGGCATCCTGGATGGGCTGGAAGCGGGGCACAGGCAGGGAACCAAGCAGGTCCTCGTCACCCATCCATGCCCACACACCCATGAGCCCCAAGCAGTCACACTTGTTTTTCACTCCCAGGGAGCACTGGGAAGCTCTAAAGCCAAAGGATTAGTCTCCAAAGCAAAGGCCTGGCCTGCTGCCAGCCCGGTGAGATGTCTCCCAGAGGCTCAGCACGCTCCTGGCTCATGCTCCAGCTTTGCCCTGGTCACTCAGCCGCTGACACCAAGAGCAGACTCAGGGGGGATCTCGGGGGATCCCACAGGTGGGGAGGAGGCAGGAGGTTACCATGAGAGTCTCGCTTGGTGCCTGAGCCACTCTGAGCAGTTGGAGCATCCCCTGCTTGGTGTGGCTTCTCCAGTGTGTAACAGAGGTTGAGCACATGCTTCAAGCATGCCCTTTCCTTAGAAGACTGGCGCTGGGGTATATCTCTCCCTTCTCCTGGCTGCCTCTTTGCATAAAACCTGTAGGAGGTTCCTGCTTTTGGAGACCTGTAACCCTGCAACAGTGGGAAAGAAAAGCTGGAAACCAGATGGAAATTCAAGACACAGGAACCCCACACAGGGCTGGTTTAATCCTGTCCTGGGCAGGGCATGGGGAGCAGGCTGGAGGAGAGCTGGACGATGGGTCAGCCTGGGTGCCAGGTCCCCCAGGACTGGGACTGAATGCTGTCCTGAACTGGAGGTGGTTTTAGCATCACGGGGCTCTCCCTGGGGATCACCTCCTGACTCCAACCAGCACCAACACTTCAACCTTGTCCAGGACACCATCCCCAGTGCCAAAATAGGGCAGGCTGGGAGCAGGGCTCAAGGGCATGACCAGCCCCTCCTGCCCCATTTGTTGGCCTCTCCTGCCCCACGCTGCCTGCAACGGGTCAGGCAGTGCAAGCCCAGGTCTGCTCACCGCACTGCTTCCCAGTAAAGCTTACAGAGCACCATGGGGCGCGTGGGCCTGCTGCTCCCCAGGGAGCTGGGTGGCCTGGGAGGCACTGCCACTGTGTCACTTCATCACACTGCTCTGCCTGAAAACTTTCTCACGAGGGATTCGATTTTCAGGCAGTTCACCCTGCAAAGCAGCCTGTGCTCAGCTTGGGGGAACCAACAGGCACGACAACGTCAGCCCCGGGTTAGACTTGCTTCATCTGGACATTTTCTTATCTTTTCCTCTCTGAGCAGCTGGTGACAGAGGCAGAGCCATGGCAGGGAGGTCTGAGAGAAGACGGTGGTTGTGCAGGGCCCCCATTTTAGAGCAGCCCCAAGCAGCTACAACACATGGAGTTTGCCTTCCAGCATCTGATCCCTGAGCAATGCACACAGAATAACACAAGGGAAAACAGAGAGCATTCCTCCCAGCACCGAGGAGGGTGAGGGTGCCAGAATCCAGCCCTGCAGGCTGCACTTGCAGCCACATATCCCCTGAACCCACTCCCCACTCGGGACACTCCACAACAGCACACTCCACGCCAGCAAGTGTAGGGTTGTGTGGGGCCACAGAGCTGCCAGACCAAAGGCCACAGTAGTTGGTAGAGGGGCTGGGTGCACCTCCTCTCCGACCAGGCTCTTCCCCCCCTCCACCCCAGGAAAAAGTTATTTTCACACTGCCTGCCTGCAAGAACTAACATAAATTGCTGAAATGGCTGCAGTGCTCAGGGGACAGGCCCTTTTGGAGCCAAGCTGCACACAGGGAGGGGAAAGCCCAGGGGACTTTTTAATAACTAGCAAGGGGAGCTATTAAAGTGTTTTACTGCCTTGTTAAGACAGTCTAATCTCTGTTTATATCTTTAAAAAAAATTGGCTTGTCAGTGTTTTTATTGTAACAGAGGTGGGTGTTTTCTGGCCCTGGCTGGGAATACTGCCTGCTTTATCTGCTTGTTTTCTTACCTGATACCAGCACTGAACAGCCCAAGAGCAGTCCAAGGGCAGCAGCAGGCAGGGCCAGACAGACTGCTCCTACCTGGGCAGCAGTGAGGAGACAGACTGCGGATCTGTGCTGCAGACTGTTTCCCATCCTTGGGTGCTCTGCACCCCATTGTTGCACCCACCTTCCAGCAAGACGAAGGTCCCCAGGGTGTTTTCCCAGGGCAGGTTTGGGACATACTGGCTCTGCATGTGCCTGGGCAAAGCTCAGAGGTGGGTTACCCCTTGTCCAGGCAGCCCAGACACAGGGCATGGGGTGGCAGGAAAACAGTGAGATCTCATCCACTCCTCCAGCTCCAAGGGCTGGGATTAGGGGGATACCCAGATTCTGGGGCTACGGCCAATTTAGGGTCCTGCAAGCTAGGCTGAAGAGTCCATGCCCAGGGGAGCCCCAGCAAAGGCTCACTGCAGCAATACAAAGCTGTCTGACTGCCAGAGTCTAGGTTCGGAAGAGGAATGGTCTGGGCATTTTGTTTCTAAGGTTTTCTTTATTTTATTTTATTTTTTACCTCAACCCAGCAGAAAATGGGGAAATCCTACCAAGTCCTACTGGCTCCAGCATCCACCTCTCCATCTGCAAAAGTTCACGATTTCAAAGCCAGGAGCCGGAACGGATGCTGAGGCCGGGATGGCAGGGCTGGATAAGCCACTTGCGTTTTCTTTGGAAAGGCTGATGTTTGCACGAGCACCAGCTCTAATGGTTTTAAAGGGACCCACCCAGGAGCAAATCCCAAAGCCTGAAATCAGAGCTCTGGCTGTTCCTGCCCTCAGCTGGGCTGGAGAAGTCTCTGTCTTACACCATGTCCCGGGTAGAGGAGGCCACAGGAGCCAAGGCTGTGGCTGCAGAACAAGGGACGGGAACAGAGACCCCAGCATGGCTAATGGGGCTGGCAAACACCTAGAATGATCTTGCTTGGAAATTTGGGACAGGAAGGGTAAACCTGCTGTTTAGCTGGAGACACAGTTCAGCCGAGCCCATCTGCCAGAGATCCAGTCTCACCAGCATCCTTGGTCCCAGCAGATGTGCTCTGGTAACCAGCTGCTTCAGGAAGCATGACTTTTATGTGTCACCACTCTGATGTGAGAAGGGACAGATCCCCACACACACGGTCTGTGCCTGTACCAGCACTGGGGCTAAACCTGCCCTGCCTGCAGAGCTACCAGCAACTCCAGAGCATTTCAGACCGGAGTCTCTCCCTTTCTTCTAGAAACCACCATGAGCTCCGCAAAGCATGGACAGTGTGGCCTGGGAGAAACACTACCATTTATTAAGCCAGCTATTTTTTGTTGAGAATGATTTTAACAGCGCTGGAGGACTTACCCTGTCTCCCCCAGGGACCCTCAGCTGATTTATTGCATGCAGGGCTAGAAGTAAAGCAGGGGACAGACAGCCTTGTGGGACATGGTGGCTCAGCAGCAGTTGCGGAGCTACACAGGAAGCCATGAGCTGCTCACAGGTGATGTCAAGCCAAGCACAGCTGCTCCGGAGCAGGCAGATGGGATGCTTGCATAGAGCAACCTGGTCCCAGTTTGCTGGGATTCCCCCAAGTCCATGTCAGGTGCCGTCTCCAGGAATTTTGGATGTTGTCCTGCTCTCCATGTCCATCCAGGGAAGCCCTGAGGATTCGCAGGAGAAGGAAGGGTGCTCAGGGGTCTCGGCACAGAGGGTAGTTTCCACTGAAGGTGCTGCTTCAGAGACACAAAGCTGGACCTGTCATGCACCTGACCATCTTCCTAACCATGGCCAGCTCACATCTTGCATCTAGAAAGAGTCACAGCCAGGCCTTCCCTCTCTCTTGGCTTCCTATTGACATCAGGAGATGTCCCCACTCCCATCACCCCAGCAGGGAAAGATCCAGGCTGCAACCCACAGAGGAAGGGGAACGATGGCACCGTGGCGAGAGCAAAGCTGTCACAGCAGTCAGCTGGGGACAGACACACCCACGGGTCATGAAGCCAGGACCCCCAGGGTTGTCAATGCACATGGAAGAGTCGTTTCCTTGAAGCAGGGTGCTGCAGGATGCTCAGAACTTTCCCTGCATCATTTGGCGAAGGCAACAGGCTCAAGCTCTCACACAGCTCCAGGCTGCAAGCCATGCTTTACAAGCCAGTGAGGTGTGTACTGGGAGGCATGGTGGGTGGACAGTAAAAGGCACAGGCAGAAGAAGCCAAGGCTAAAAAGACAGAGAAGATGTCTCCACGACAGGGTCGCTGGAAATCCACCCCAGCAGAGGAGCCTCATATTTCTGGGTGCTGGTAGGGGACAGAGACCTGGTGCCATTCAACACACAGACGGAGAATCCCAGCCATCGCCTCCATCACACTGCATCAGGGGAAAGCACAAGCCTTTCTGAGTCTGAGCCCTGCAGGCTCTGCCAGGCTGCTTGTGACAGTCCAGAAACAAACTGGGAGAACTGGATCTCCATCTCCCACCCAGTGCTTTTGCACCACCATCCTTCCTCCACAGGGCATGGACAAAGGCTTCCCAGTGCAACAGGACCAGCTACAGTGACTGCCCTTCAGATTGGTTTCACAATGGTGTTTAAACCAAGCAGGGCTTCACCCACAGGGAAGAGGGTTTTAGCATCCACCATATGCTGTGGCCAAACCCCAGGTGCCCCAGGTCAACTCTACCCCGGATGGACACTGGCCCTGAAGACAATGATGAAAATGAGCTCATCCAACAGGGATACCCTGCTGATGGTCCTGCTCTGCACCTCACACTGAGCATGCTGGTGCCACCAAGCTGTGGATGCATGAGAGCATCTCCTGTCCTCTCTGGGTAGCCAGTTTGGGGGAAGGGTCCCCACTTTTTGCAGACAGGAGGCTGAGGAATAGAGGGGAGAGGTCCCAGAAGTCCTCCTTTCTCAGGTTTCCCCACCAACCCTTCCCCACCACCAACATCAAGGACAACAGAGAAGTGATCAGCCACCTGCAAGCACTGCCCCAGAGCAAAGGATTAAATTTACAGGGACCCACCTCTCCCAGAAATTTGCCACAGGTCAGACACCCCCTCCCTTAAGGCTACATCACCAAACACTGACAGGGGCATCAGAGGAGCAGTGCAACACCACCAAGCCAGACTGTCCCCCTTGTCCAGCCACCCAAATTCCCCCAAGCAGAGACAAGTGAAGCAGAGTGGGCAGTTGGGAGAGCTGGACTGGGAAAGTGAAGCCATGGGCTACAAGAACGTCACATCGTCCTGAGACTGGAGCCAGCGCCAGTGGGCATCGTACTCCAGGTGCAGTTTGCTGTTGAGTTTGCAGTTCTCAAAGTCAGGCTCGGCTTTCTGAGCCTTCCCACCCGGATTCCCCTTCCCCAGCCTCTCCCCAGACCCCGATGGAAATTTGGTGTCTCTGCCTGGTTCCTGAGAGGAGGGCTGCTGGCCCAAATACCCGTTGGCCACCTGGGGCTCCTTAGCAAACCGGTGATCCTGGGGCACCCCGGGTGGGGAGAGGTCCACGTGAGGCCACTCGTGCTCTGCTTTGCCCTTCTCTTGCTTTGCAAGACCCCTCTCAGTGTCAATCCTGACCCAATCCTGCTCTGCCTTGATCAGGGCTCTGCCCGGTGTGGATGCAGCAGCGGTTTCGGCAGCGTTTTGGGAATACTCATCCATGTCATCGGCCAACGTGTCCAGGTAGCTACCAACGGAGATACTGTCCAGCTTGTCATTTGGGTCCTGAAGGCTGTCCCAGCTGCCCCGCCGCGAGGCTGCCTGGCTCTCCACCAGGCTGTACTGGCTGCTGGCCAGGCTGCTGCACCGGCTGGTCAGCGTGCTCCTCTCCTCCAGCAGCCACTTCACCGCCTCGATGCCCTCATTCACCACCACCAGCTGCTGCAGGATCTTCACGTCCACCGCTCGTAGGTAGGCCTGGCAGGGAGACAGAGAGTGCAGGGCTTTTGAGGGGACCAAGGTGACCCCGGTGGCTGAGGGCCCTGAGTCCCAGCCCAGCCTGGCAGAGTGTCACCATGGTGGCCACAGGTCTCCTGAGCTGCCTCATGAACAGCACTTATGTCACTGTCTCCTACAGGGACAGGGGTAAGCAAGGAACTAGAGGCACTGGGTGCAGATCTGAGCCCAGAGCATCCTCCAAGCCCTGGGAGGCAGCTGGCAGGGCAGGAGGGACCAGGCAGGAATGGGGAGGGACATTGCTCAGATCTGGCTGGACCATCAGCACCTCCTTGGGCTGTTTCCGCTGGGTCCCTTCATGCATTTATTTCCCCCTTCTAGGGTCTGATCCAAGCCTGGTGACAGTGTAACACAGCATGATTTGGAGCCTGAGACCCAAATCACTCCCAGAACAGGGGAGGATGGTGTGGGGGACAGGCACTGCTGATCACACCACTCGCCTTGCCGACTCCTGCCCCTCCGAGCCTGGGAGAAGCTCTTTGCAAGACTTCAGTTGCTGCAGAAACATCTGTTTTCCTAACGGAAAGCCCCACATGCCAAGACATTCCTGTCTGTGTGATACTGGCCGCCGAAAGCCACTGGATTTCCCCTACTCAGGACGCAAATATTTTGCCAGGAAAGGGAATAAAGTGGCGGCAGGGGGAGAGGGAGGGAAACCCATTGCAAGACAGGTACAGGCAGCCTGAGAGTGGTGGATGCCCACGGGCTCATTCACAAACACACACCATCCCCATTCCCAGCAAGCTGCAATGGAAATCCACACGGTCCCCCGGGATCATTTGTAAGCACAGCGCCCCGTCCCCAGCATCCGGTACCCTCAGTCACCCGCCCGCCCACGGGTGACCCGCCGGTCTCTCGAGACCCCTGTCTCCGGTCCCACAGCAAGAGCAGCAACAAAAGCATCTGAGGAAGGAGCCTGGGAAAACCCCAGCCAAGGTTTGGCACTTATGCCTCTCAATCCAGAGGACACGAAAAAAGGGGCAAAGATTTGTAGAGAACCGACACCAACCCCTCATTCCCTCCCCACGCTCCTCAAGCTGGATTTAAATAAAAAATAGCAGCAATGTGCCCAGACTGGGGCAGGAGCCAGCTTTGAAGTGCAGAAACTTCCTTTCTAGGCAAGTTATTTCAAAAACTGCCTACAATGGACTTTTCTGCACGCGTTGCTAAAGCATCTGGCCTTGGCAGGGAGAAGATGTGGGAGGAAGAAGTCTGGGAACCCCTGATGGGGGGGTTCCCCATTTTTCTCTGCCTCATGCAACTGTGGCTGTCAGAGATGCCAGGGGAGCCACCCTGAGAGCAGAGGGTGGGAAACTGCACCCTGCTTTCTATGCTGTTTGCTGAAAAGAGTCAACTTTTGATTTGCTGCTACTTCAGATCAGCCTGACCTCTGCCATTGCACTCCAAAAAAAACCCTCTCCAGCAAATCAAGGTTAGCATGGGAGCAGACCTAGGTCCAGCTGCTCCCTATATTCCTCCAGATGTGGTAATGGATGCACCACACCTACCCGTACCTATCCTAAAGCCCTCATGGTGCTCCCAGCACGTGCCCACCAGAATCCGGACCCAGGACAGCAGCAGCGTCCAGAGGGGAGGGAGCCAACAGCGGTCCTGAGTGCGTGGCAGGGGGCAGAGGAGACCAGCCTGGATCCCTGCTCCAGGCTGTGACACCCTGCACTGCTGCTGTGCCTCAGTTTCACTGTGTACATCCTGCAGCACTGTCCTCCTCCACATCCAGAAATGTCCCCCCTCTCTTTCAAAAGGGACCCTATGGGCGGGCGGTGCAGGGGGGACCATCATGCTCTTCCCCACACTCTCTATGGACAGGCAGAGGGGGGAGAACATCCCTCAGGGGGGGATATGGTCCCGCTTCCCTCCCTCTGGCAGGCACCATCTCCCTTCGAGATATCTAGCCCCAGGGATAAAACATCCTCCTTGGACCAGGTGAGAGTGGGAATTTGCTATCTTCTCCTCCCACTGCCCAGTCCTAGGTCAGCTTCTCCTTTGAGCACTGGGTTTGCAGGTCCCTGCTGGGGCAGGGTGGGGATGGGACATGGACAGATTTTGGTTCCTGTTCATGGGGATGGTGAGATGGGGGGAGCCCCATGCTGGGCTTTGGGCACCCGGATGCCATTCCCAAGCTGTTGACCTGGGTGTGAGGTGTCCCTGCTTCTTCACCGGCCGGTGAGAAGAGCCAGGGCAGAGAAAGGAAAAGCCCTTCGGAGCTGCAGTTCATAATGTGCGGCCAAAGCCAGGCCTCGCAGAACACGCGCTGACCCTGCCTGCACCTGGGCAGGGCAAACACGGCTGCTGCTTCCTCCTCCTCCTCCTCTGAGCAACCCAGGGCCCGCAGACCTTTCTCCTCTGGTCAGAGTGCAGCCTGAGAGCCGGCAGAGAGGGAGGATGAAGGCAGAGGGAGGATGAAAGCAGAGGGAGGATGAAAGCTTTTACACCGATGGGGAATACCAATCTGGCCGAAGTGTGGGTGCGGAGGGCTCAGGCTGAGTGGGCCCCAGCCCCCCGCGTGGCAGGCAGGGTTGCTGGCATATTTAGCCTGTTTCCCTATGGAAACGCTGCTCATTCCCTCCCGCTAGCGTCTCTGTGCGTGGGAGAGTCCCTTCCCCCAGCTGCACTTGAACCCATTGCCCAATCTCGCCACGTTTCCCGGAGGCGCAGGCATCGCCGGTATTTGCTCCCTCCGCAAAAAGAGGGAGGTGAGAAAGCTGCCACCGGCACTCCCACGGTCCCCGGGAGAGGCTGCCACCGGCGCCCAACCTTCTACTAGCCACTGGAGAAGCCCCAACAGGAAGTAAACCCCGGGAAAGTTCCCAGTGATGCTTGTGCCTTGTCACCCAGGGGGTGACACCCGTGG